CCCCCCCCCCCCAAAAAAAAAACCAAAACAAAAAACAAAAACAAACAAAAAAACCCCCCCACAACAACCCAAAAACCCTTAAAAGTTGAATTCTGCCTGTGGAGAAAGGACATCTATTTTACACGAGCATTATACAGGTAACAGTGGGCTACATTCTTAACCAGAATGTCAGCATTGTTCATTAATTGCAATGAACCTACAAAACGTGATCAGTAGTTAGCTTAAGCAAATAGCTGTTGAATTTTTTATTTATTTTTTTTGCAAAAGGGTAAATGGATGTCATTAACAGTGAAGAGACAGACAGTACAACTCAGTTCAAGGAAGCAAGTTACATATCTGAAGTTGCATACAAATTTAAACAAAGACTCACGTGACTTGGATGCTCTCTGAAATTAGCAGCTGAACTAATGGGCAAAAAGATGTAGTGGTGTTAGCGGCTAGCCAATCAACAGAATTTCATAGACTACAATGCTAAAAACCCATGACCAAGTTCAGAAAGGTGTTTTCCAGCACCAAAAACTGGAATTTCCAGTTCCAAAAGAAGTCTGGTTTGTCAGAATTAGGCTTCATACGCAAGATTTGGACAGCCAAGTTTTGAAAATGGAATAGAATACCAACATACAGTACTTAAATGTGAACGCAGTACTCAGAGCTGTAGGAACTCAGTTCCATAAACCAGAGTCTAGGCTCTCTTAGTCTTGAAAAGCTAATCTAATTGTTTTGACAAATCTTTTCAGCTCTACTGATCAGGTCTCTAGTCTTAAGACAGGTTTGAGGGTGGTGGGGGGAGAGGGGGAAGGCTACAGAAGTCTATGCTAAGCACCAAAACCAACATTTAGTATTACATACTTTAACCACCCTGGAGGACCCCTACATAGCATGGCATGGCATGACATGACATTTTACTGTCTATTTTAGGGATAATGTGGCTGTCTGGGTAATCATAATCAACCAACAAACAATATGAAACAGAACAGTGATAGCTAACTCAATATCTTCATCTTTCAGCCTTAGCTCATTTTTAGCCTTACCTTTTTTCCAGAAGAGTAGTTCATAGGACTTCTTTCAAAAATACCTCAGCATAAACTACCTTACACCTACAGACATGTGCTTTTTAGTTCATTTCAAGATTTCTGCACTTCTCTCCTCTTCTGCAGGGCAACAACATGCAAAGCTACTTCCCCAGAAGTTTACCCACGTTGTAAAAGTCCTCTGCAATTACTTTTTCTTACAGATCTCCCATTCCCTAGCTTCTCCACTATAACATCTCTCCTCTTCCCTGTACCCAACACAAACTTGAAGTATAATAAGGTGAGAAATCACCTAACTCTTAACCAGCTGAATCTACTAATTACCCCAAGTCCTCTTATCTCTCACTAATAAGGCTGGATTTACTGTCTTTTGTAAGGCTAAGCAGCCCACCTGAAAACAATTCTGAAACACTAATTGTGAAAAGCACTTTGAGAGCTCTGGCAAGCTTAAAAAAAAGAAATCTTAGTCCCAAAGTGAGAGGTCTGGAATGAGAACACAGTGCTGCAGGTTCTGAAAACTAAGTCACAGCTATGGACCTTTGAGCACCAAATCCCAGGAGCCTGTTATAAAAGCAGGCCAGCCAAAGCCACAAAACAAGGTCTTCAAAGATTGCTCTCGGATCAGAGATTCACATTCCATTTTCTGTTACCAGGTTCTGAGTTTGGAGTTTCCAGAGCCCAGCCCCAAACTCTAAGCCCTGAACTTAATTTCCTGGTCCCAGTTTCTTGCTCTGTGTCAATTACCAAGATTAATTACTCAATGCCACTCCTCCCAGTATTATAAAAACTGTTGCGTGTTTTATATAGATTTGCTTTTTCAAAGCCCTTCGCAGACACTAACTTGCTAAACCTCCTATCCCCTATGCCACTGATATGGAAGATAACTTTTTGACCTCTGCAGCTGCTTCCCATGCACTTGCATCTATTGTTCAATCTTTTAAGAGAGTTGAGACTCACAGATGAAAAGGGCAATAGAAGAGATAAGTAGTAGTATTATTAAATGATGCTTCCCATAAGTGTGGCTACTACTTAGATGTGGTAATTTCTAGTTTCATAGCTCAACTACTGCCATGTTCTTCATGTGGGGCTGCCCTTAAAGACTGACTGTATGCTTCAAGGTGCTGATACAGCTCTAAATCAGAGGTGCTCTAGCTTTTGGCTCAGTGGACCAGAGGAGTAGTGTGGCACTGGTCCATGGATTGGATCGAGCCCTGTGCAGGACCTAGTACCACGCACTTCCTGCCCTGCATGCTGGGATTGGGCCCTGGGGCCTGCTGCTGCCCCTCCTGCTCCACACACAAGGAGTGGGCCCCAGGACCTGGTAACACCCATCCCTGGCCCTGCGTGCTGTGATTAGGTACCAGATCTAGCACACGGGGCCTGGGGCTCCTCACGTGTCTGGACATTTGGTGGCAGGGAAGCAATGTCACCACTCCTGTGGAGAGCCAGAAGAGATGGCACCAGGGGCTGGATCTCACCCATTGGCTTGGGGTAAGCACCCCTGCCCTAAGCAGTCTGAACCCTACGTACCTAAGGCACTGCTTTATCTTTTAGACCCTACTGCGATCCCTAAGGTCAGCTAAGGGCAACCTTTTGCAAGTAGCATCAATGCACCAAGTCTATTTGGCAAAAATATGTGGGAGATTGCTCTCAGTAATGACCCCTCAGCTCTGGTACCCTCCCCCACCCCCCAGTCTTGAGGCCTGCCAGAGCCCAAGGCTGGACATCTTTGAGAAGCACTATTGGGCCAGCATTTAGCAAACAAAGCTATTTGGGCTTCCATTTAGCAAACGTAGCTGGTCTGGGATGTTGTTTAATGGGTTTCTGGTTTATGTTTTCACCTGTTCTACAAGCATTTTTCCTGTTTTATAAGTGATTTTGTATTTCTCTTGTAAGCTGTCCTGAGCTTCTATTGGAAAGTGTGGCACATACATCAAATATGTATATGCCACCCTTGTGGGGGTCTGCTCCCTTTTGGAGTCTCTGGCGTGCCAGCTGGAGGAGCTCCA